TCTTCAATGTTCTTAGGTTTATCTTTAAAAATTGAATTATCATAAAACGTGTCTTCTTCAAGGTGGTTGATTGATGTATGCTCATCAATTATTGTTTTTTCAGTTGTGTAGGATTCTAAATCGCTGAAAACTAGTCTTAAAGTTCCTTTTATTAAACTGTATTGTTTTATTATAAATTCGTCAACACGTAGTTTACCAAAATTTGTATTGAAGAATAACTTTTTTATATCTTTAAAATGGCTTTCTACGTTAGAGCTTGTTGGGTTAGAAATATCTGATTTAAAGAAAGGGCACATAATATTGCCCCACAGAGGTAATTTACGTAACACCCTGATTAAAGTATTTTTTATAAGTGGAAAATAAAATATATTTTCAACATCGGTTACATCTTCATCGGTTGATGTGATCAGTAAATCTTCCTTAACATCAATTTCTTCAATAAACTTTGTGAGCTTATAATCTAGATCTAATTCGGTTTCCTCAAAAATATTATTACTTTCAAGATTTTTATGTTTTGCATATTTCTCTTGTTCTGGGTAACCCATTTCTTTATTTACTGCTATTAAATTTCTTAATTTGTTTAATGAACTTTCGCATCGTGTTTGTTGTCCATTTTTAGTTCCGCGATATTTATATTTGGATACTATAATAATATCCTGCACTATTAGTTTAACCTGTTCGTAACATATAGATTTTTTTATTTGTTTTAAACACTCAACATAAAAATAGATTATTCTCGTGTCTACCTGTTTGAAAACTGTTAAGTTATAAAGTGTCTTTAAAAAATGAGATGTATCCAGTCTAACGTGGCAAACAGGGACTTTATCTGATTTGTTTTCTAATAATTTAAAACAATTGTTCAAATATTCTTTTGTGGAGCTATAACCACAAAATGCTTTAACAACAGCTCCAATCATGGCAGCTGAGTCATCAGTAACGACTTCGTTAGGAGGCTTTCTGTCTGAAAGCCAGGTGTTAAGCCAGTGAAAAATACTAGCAATTGTGTGACTTTCGGAAATAAATTGCCCCAATGGCACACTGCTTTTCACTGTAATATCAGTCATAATGGTATATAAAAATATAGGAGCTTGAGACTTTGCTGCTATTTCCGTGTGTTCATTACAAACTGGTCTTATTTTTTTACAAAATAAGGATCCAGTAGCATCTATACTAAGTCTTATATAATTTAGCGTTTTTTGACAATTCTGATAATAATGAATTTGATCATCTGTCCAATAATGAATATAAAAAGGGAATGCTGATACAGATCTTACATATTTATCATATGGTGGAGTAAAGGCCATAGTTGTAAGCGATAAAATAAGGTTTTCGTGATAATATAATGATTTCCGGCTTTGATATTTTATTTGTCGCAAAGTCTGTAATTATGGGAGCACTGAAGGCTCTTTGTCATTTTTGTCCATAATTTCAGACGCTATTTCACTTTTGATAGATACAGACGATCTATTTTGCAATCGTTGTGAAATAATATGTCTTGTATGTGTCCTTACATGATTTTTCACATTAACGGAATGTTTATAATTATTGTGCCAATTTGTTATTAAACATTTTAATTCAATGAAATTATCAGTTTTAAGATGAGATGTGATTGTGATATTTGCATGACATTGTTTACAATACCCCTTACAAGTAACTTCATAATCGTTTTTAGCAAAATTTCCTTTAAAACACCAAGTACAAGATAATTTTAATACATTCCACAGCTGTCCTTGTATGACATTAGTCCACCTATTCATTTGTAGTTTGCGTCTCTTTTGGTATATGGAACCTGTTGCATAATTACGACGGTAATAATAATATTTTGGCTTGATTTCTCCCCAAGTAATTTTATCTATGCATAAAAAGTGTATTATACTATTAGCATCATAACTTAAAATTTTCGGAGAATAATCCTGTATGGGACTAGTATTTCCTGACGTAGTTGCAGTATTTGTGCCAGAAGTAATGTTCAAATCAGGTGTTTTTTGATCGTTGACAATAGGGTCGTTGCATACAGATTTTCCAAAGAAATAAACGTAATTCTTTTTCAAACTCATTTGAATACTCTTTTTTGTCATTTTATGTTTCATAGCAGATTGAATACTATTATAAACAGTATGTGAAATAGGTGGAACGGCATTACATAAGTCATCTTTGAATTGTAAATATGTATCCTTTTGAATCTCTAACGGCACCTTTGGGTTCGGACCCCTTTTTGGGTTGGTATTAATAATATTACTAAAAAATAAAAACAGATAAACTAATTTTAATCGATTACGTATCATGTTTTCTATGATATAGTACTGGACTAGACAAAGTTATAGAGATACTGATGACTCAAGGTGTTGCCAGTCGGTGTTGTCATCGTGCTGAGAAATCGTTGCCAGCTTTGATCTGAAATATGTAGGTAACATAAAAATAGTTAGAAAATTAAACGCAGGTCCTTCTTTGCATGTAAGTTTTTGATATAGCTGGGCATTAAATCGTTAATTAACGAAGTTAACATATCGAGTAACGGATTAACTTTTAAGTTAACTTAAAAATATGTTAATGGACACGTTAACTTCCATTGATTTTCCCAAAGTCCGTTAATCGAATTGCGCCTCTTTCGTCCTACTAAGGTTTGTCCCAGAAAAAAAATTTTGTGTTATAATACCAGGTTATGTTAAATACTGTATTGAAATGATGCGTTAATTAATAGTACTGTGATTTATATTTGATTTTGATCTAAGATAAAAATATTGTTTTATTTTTAATTAGTGTTAAAATACCACTGAAATAGTAGGTTAAATTAATAGTATAGTTGGCAAAATATGAAATGAGCCGATGAATGTTATCAGCTAGACTGGCTTATCTCTTACAATACAAAAGGGTTACGAAGGCGCGTGCGGTACAATCTTTTATTCTGTTGAGTCTTAGACTATATAAGTAATACTGATGTTGAGTGCTTATTGTATTCTAAAGGAAAGGTGATAAGATGAATCGGCTCAAATTATATTTAGTGTGATCTATACCTACTATGATTTTGTTAAATACCACGTTATGTTAAATATTGTATTGAAATGATAGCTTTATTAATATTATAACATATATTTTCTTAACAGTTTTATTTCTCATGATTAATTTCGAGTTGCTACTGGGACACTATAATACCGAGATTAATGTTGTTAAGAACTCGGGACGAACGAGGAATTTAATACTCATGTAGGATGAAGGAGGATTTTTTTGGATGTGGGACAAAGTATTGGGACAACGAGAAACAAATCCGTTAACATTAAACCAGCACCGACCGGCAAAAACACGTTCTGACATGTACGTTCAAGTCAATAGAATGTAACTCAAGTATCATATGTGGCGATGCAATGCGATACGCAATTGCGCATATGTGGGGTGCCTAACAATATTGACTTTTTTGCAAAAATTAATGCCCAGGTCAGTTATGAGTTTTTAAAATAAAATAAGTAACAAACCACTCCAAGGAGATGCTATAAAACTATAAGCAAACAACAGGCTGGGTCATTCTATCCTACCTGAATTCCAGTCTAGTAGGTACTATTGTTCGTAATAGCCACGTGCTATGTTGAACAATAATACAGATAATAATTATTGTTGTTTAAAAGCTTTAATGACATACATTGTTATATTTGAAGTAGAGTTTTAAGTGTTTTTATAACTTATTTTATGTTTCAAACTACTGCATTAATACTATTTAGATATAATATTATTTATACTGAGAATCCCTCCAGCTAGCTTTTAATTTTTAGGTGTACCTATCTTAAAAAACAAATAACTATAGGCAAATAAAGGCAAGCTTATTTTATTATTAATAAGAGTAAAAAGAAATAACTATAAATATCGCAAACTTACATTATATAATGTCTGGAATAAATATATATTCATCACTTCACATTATACTTAAACTATAATGAAAATTTTTGCTTTCTGCGTAATAATAAAATGCCAAAACAAAAACGATGACCAGAACTATACCACTGACTGCCGGCCGACGACTGGCGCGCTTCCATTCCCCGCTCCAGCCCCCGCTGCGTACCGCACCGAACTCAGTACTTGCGCAGGCATAATATTTTAGGCGCATTCGGTGACGTTTATCCGTCACACAAAAAAAAATAAAAGACCAGGAAGTTAAAAAAAACGTAAGAAAATCACACTGGTGTCGATTCTCTAAATTAAAACTAAATTTAACACCAGTCTGTCCTTTTCATTCTGTATAGAGAATGGCAAAGATAAACTGTTGTCAAATTTAAGTTTAGCTTTAGAGAATCATTCCAAAATCGACATCACTATCTCTTAGTGCATTAATTATTTTTGTGTGCGACTGTACTACAATACATTTGTTCCTAGAATTTAACATCCTCTTTAAGGATTGTTGTGATGCGAATTCACATAAAATACTTTTACTGTTAGAGGCACTATTTGACACACTATTTATACATATAGCATTGATAACGAGAAAAGCGCGTTTTCTATGAGAACTATTATGGGTACGCCAGGTTGACGCCAGCTAAAAATGTTTAGTTCAATACCTTCGGTCTTTAAGTCTTTATTTCTTAAATTAAAGAGGCACTATTTTTTTTATTTTTACACTAATTTGGCACTATTTAATGGCATAACGAAAAACCGTATATTGATCGTGGGTACGCTAGCATCACGGACACAGATACAGTGGTGCTCGCCGCCGCATTACTGGATAACTTTCGCTTTTTGGTACCCTCTGCTTGGTCCTCCCCATCGCTGGGGGGACCCATCTTGTTGTTGAAAGGTTGGTTTTTTCGAAGAAAAGTTGAATTAGAAAGTCAATAAAATTAATTAATATTTGAGGAAAGAAAAAAAGCGCGCGCCTAGTTTGACTTCCCGCTAAAAAGTCTAGCTGATTTACATAAGTTTGGTGTTGCCAGACACATGAATAATGTTAGTTCCTCAAACATTCATGTCACGACTTTATAGACAAAATGTCAAAATTGAAGCATCTTAAAGTTGCATTCAAAGCGTACGTTTGGTATGTTTACTGTATGCTTATGTACGTTCAAAGTACGTTTGGAACGTAGCCATGGTTGAAGTTTGTATTTGTAATTATCTTTCAAATTGAAAAGTATCGCTATAGGATGTCAATTAGGTCAAAATCCATTGGTTTACAAAAATTAAAATATTTATTAGTTCAAAATCGATGTCTCAGCTATGTTCAAGGGCAAGAACCCGAACCAAAGATCCGAGAATATTTTTACTATATTGACCATCAGGGTATGGTACGTATATTTCTAGACAGTAAAAACCTGAGAATATTAATCTCTACCTACTTGATTTAACCCCTTATCTATTTATTATTAAATCAAAACATAACTTTATCTCATACATTGCTTTATTATTATCTCAAGAAGACAAAAATTAAGTTAGTGCAACACTCACAGGGGAATGGGATCCAGTAACTTTGAGATGGCTGTACAAATAATTTTCAGTACTATTTATATTATGTTAAGGCCATAGACTATAACAATTATTTTAAACAAGATTGTGATCCTCATTTTAAATTTCACTTCTATATCTTTGCAGTTATTTTTGGATGATTCTAAAATGAAAAACTTTACGTCTTGTTTTAAAGAAAAAAAATTTTTAGAGTTCTTTTTCAAAAGGATACGGATTAACAAAACTGGGAGATATGAAAATGAATTTCCTTTTATATCACTTTGCGGACGAGAAAGAAATTTTATAAGATGTGATGATGTGCCCATTGTCTATACGCACCTAATAACAGTGGAGGATGATTTTTTGACTTATGGGTATGCAGGTGATTTGTTGAAAGCCAAATTTAAACCTAATAAAATATTTATGTTACCTAGTACAGGTAGAGTTTATCATCCTGCAGAAGAAAAGTTTGGTGGTGTTGGGCTGATTAGATCAAAACTTGCTATTGAACTCAGTAAAAGGTTTGAATTTCACCATGGTGAAAGTAAGCCACCTACTCATTTTAATTGGAAAGAAATAGACTATGAAATAGATCAAGACTGGTTAAATAACATCATTATGAAAAATAATATTGAGTTAAAATGAAATAATTAATTGAATAAATTATTATACTTTATTTACTTACATAACTTAGTCTTTTTGTAAAGCTATGGTAATAAAAAACATTGTGTTTAATATTATTTTACTTGTACCTTTACAGCAGGGGCAACCATATCTACTTATTGGGGCAGGGTATGTGGCTCACATGAGTGCCTGGTCTAAGTGGGTGCCAAAGCTCCTGCCACTTAAAATATAATTTACAAAATCCCCACTACTACTATATAATGGAGAATAATTCTGCTTTTGATTTACATGCAACAATACTGTGAACATTCAATGAAGCTCAAAATCAATCTGTCTTAATATCTATCACAGTTGAATTATAAAAATATGGCATGTTTCTTTAGGAATACATAATATGTATGTCTTAATAATTAACTATCCGGAAGTATGTCTTATGTGCTTTCTTCTTTAGAAAATGCTTGATATGATCCTGGTTGAACCCAAGAAATTCCATGACTTTGCCCTTCACTGAAATTTTGTGGTTTCAACATTATATTTTTAGCACTGTCATGAATTTCAGGATCATAGGGTTTAAAGGTTATGTAATGTTTGTCTTCTGTTGGTGGATCATCATATAAGTGATCTATACTGGAAACTATACATTCTTTTACTTTTTCCAAAAATATTTTACGATTTGTTTTGTATCTGCAATGAAATAATAATTATAAGGAGTAACAACATTAATTTCCTAAAAAAACTTGCATGTAAAGTAATTTATAGCTATACTCACGCTACTGAAGCTTCAATATTTGATGGAACTTTCATATTCAAATTATGAAATATACAGTGCAAATATTTTAGGATTTGCCAAATGTGGTTCCTTTTCCTGTCCCATTGTGGGAAGACACCGCTTAAATTGAGGACTCCTGAATTAGCATCAACAGCTGGATGATATAAACTCGGGTTAAAAGTTAGTACCTGTAATTTATACACATGTAGTTCCTTTACTTTGTAAAGTTTAAAGGAAGAGCTTCTATATTTTAATACTCACTGGCACTTCCTCATCAGGAAACTTGTCAGGTATAGTGATTGTAAATCGAAAAATGCCACCTTCATAATAACCTGCTCTTACAAATATTACTCCAAACCATACTAGAAGTTAAATTTACTATTAATCATTATAACTTAAAGTTAACAAAAAAATAATTACAGTATAACTTACAGAAAGAATTTTCATATGAAGGAATGACATAAATGCCTTGCAAATTCTCAGTTTGTAACATACGGCTAAAAATAAAATAACATTAATAAAACACCTAACCCTGAATCGTGTATGAAGCTTAAGATCAAATTAAATCGCGATTACAAATTACACTTAAAAATATTTAACTACTTTAGCCTGAAGTTCTTACTATTCGGCCATAATAATGTATTCCTGATGAAACATTGAGTATAATTCTCTAATTCCTTTGAAGTTGTTATTCGATTCCTCAGCCATTCTAACGAAAATAATGAAGCAGCAAAACAACGAAATAGATTTAGTTTATGTTATGTTTTCATAAAATTGTAAACCTACGATGATGATTTAGAATGTTTTAGAGACAATGACTTTATTTTGATTTTTAATTGTCAGTGACAGTACTGACAGTGACAGACAGAGACCAGAGCCAAACGGGCTTTACACTACCCAATTTTAAGGGCCCTATCGAAAGGGTGCGCGTAGTCCCTAGCTAGGGTATAATTTAGCAAATATTTTACAGCGCCTATATCGGGTTTCTTACTTCCTAACTCAATTTACAGTGGGATTCAACGAAGAATAGGACCGACTGGGCCCCATATTGTGACGACATATCTGTCATTTCAAACCAGTTAAGTAGAGCGAGCAAATAAGTTTTACTTATTTACCAAGATTAAGTGAGAAAAAATGTCAGATTTTTAATAATATTTATTTATTAAGATTAAGTGAGAAAAAACATTAATCAGAATCTAGCTCTTCCGCGCGCTGCCGTCGGAGTAGTCATCATCACTGCTGCCTTCGGCTATAAAATAAAAAATCGATTATTGTAGTAGGTAAACGGCAACTGTATTTTTTTTTTGGTTCAGTTCTTTCCGTTCATTAAACGGAAAAGGTAAAGACGACAAAATGCGCCATACAGCCAAGACTAAAAGTTCTTTTCTTCAAGTCTTCATAAGGAATAATTCGAAATCCAAGTTTAAATATCTTCTATAGTACTCTTGATGTAATTATACAGTGCCAAATAACATTGTGGGTTTTGGAGAAGTACAGGTAAGGAACGCGGGATGTTCTCGGCTGAATTGTAGATTTCAATCAAACTATTACTGAGAAATATTCGTTGAAGAGCAAAATGAGGGCATTCGAGGAACAAATGATGAAGTGACTGACTTGAGAAGCTGCAGAACGAGCATGATGGGGAGGAGACCATGTTCATTCTGAATAAATGTTCATTAAAGCGTCCATGTCCGTTAAAATAAAAACGTTCTTTTTATTACCTGTATTTATAAAAAAAAAAACTAAAATTCTTATATATTAATCTTTTCCAGTACTCATTTTCTATACGTCTCATATGATTTAGTTCCTTCTTTTGTTTACTAATGTTTGGTATTTATTATAAGATTAGTTTAGTGGTAAAAAAAAAGTTCCAAGATTTATTTGAAAACCGTACTTTTCTAGCAACATTTGACAGATAGAGGTCATTGGCTTTCCTCACGGGCGTAGCCAGGTTTTAGTATCGGGAGGGGTTCAAAAAAAATAAAATTATTGAAAGTGCATGCACTAACATGCAATAAAATTAAAAATATGAAATATGTAAAAAAAAAACAGAAGGTTCATTACATATGCACTACAGAATTAATCTTCTGGTTTTCTTTTGTACCCCCAAAACCCTCCCCCTGGCTACGCCCGTGGCTTTCCTATTCTTATTTGAATCGCTACACCACCCTTAGGGTGCGGCCAGAGTGCACTCAGATTCAGATTCAGATTCAGATTTCGAAAACAAGCGCGAGAAATAAACAGTGTGGTCGAAGGGTACGGCCAGATTGCACTCCTGATTCAGATTCAGAAAACAAAGCGCGAGAAAAAGCAACCAACCTGCTTAGACTACACTGTTTATTTCTCGCGCTTATTTTCAGAATCTGAATCTGACTCTGAATCTGAGTGCACTCTGGCCGCACCCTTCGACTATACTGTTTATTTCTCGCGTTTGTTTTCGAAATCTGAATCTGAATCTGAATCTGAGTGCACTCTGGCCGCACCCTATGTCAGGGCCCCTAAAATAGGCTTCTTGACACTTTTTGGAAATATGTTTTAAATGGTTAATAACTGTTCTATTAGACCGAAAAAAAAGTATTGTATTTTATTTGACCTAGAAAGCTACAAAACTTTCATTTTAAAATAGTTTTTTCCATGGACATGCAAAAACGCTGTCGGCCATTTTAGTGTTAGTATTAGACATAGGTCTCCCCTAATGCACGCCACTGCTCCCGATTTTCTGCCACACTCATCCAGCCCACTCCAGCCAGCCTACGAATGTCATCATCCCATCTTGTCTCAGGGCGTCCTACACTACGATTACCGTGTCGTGGTCTCCACTCAAGAACGTTCTGCGGCTAATGTCCAAACCAGCCCTCTGCCACTTCAGTTTGTTAATTCGGTGGGCTATGTCGGTGACTTTCGTTCTCTGTCGGATTACATCATTTCTAATGCGGTACTTCAAGTTGTATATAAGCTTCTTGGTGCAGAGCAATCAAATAATATGGTCAATTTAACAAATGAAGCAATATTCAAACCCATAGTTCACTTTCTTCGTTCTTAAAGTATGATTTCTGGAATAAAAACCTCTTTCTATGTTTTGTGATAAAAACTATAGGTACTCAAACTATATCTAAGTGTACCGAATTTCATCTGAATCGGTTTAACGGTGAAGAGGTAACAGACGGACAGATAGACAATCACACTTTCGCATTTATAATATTAGTATAGATAGATAACTAATATTTACTGTGTATAGATAACTATGCCCGCGACTTGTCTGCATGGAAAAAATTGGCTTCCTATACACACTTCCACCCCATGATTTCCAGTCGCTCGGCCGAGCACTATACATGTATATATACCTAGTCAGGTCATAAATTCTGTCACATGTTTAATATAAAATAATTGAAACAAGTTTATTCATTGTGTAACCATTTATATACCAAAATGAACTTCACAAATCATAGATTCTTATGGCAATAAAGTTTATTCAAAATGACCTCCGTGATTTTGAATACAGGCCTTCAATCTGCGCGGCCAGTCGTCTATCGCAGCACGAACGAGGTCCATGTCAATATAGACGGCTGCCTTAATCAAGGATGTCTTGAGTGACTCCAAATTGGGATGGGGCTTTGAGCACGCCTTTTCCTCCAAGTGTTGCCATATCTTGTAATCTAACGGACTCAAATCTGGACTGGAGGAGGGCCAGTCTTCGTGCCAGATGAAGTCATTTCACGCGCCGCCAGCCAGTCTTGTGTGCTCTTCACTCTATGAGCTGGCGCCGAATCTTGTTGGAATACCCAGTGCCTGTTATTGAACATGGTATGAGAAACAGGTTCCACAAGGTTCGTCAGGACTGTATTTTGATACACAACTGCATTCGTTTTTACACCTTTCTCACAAAATGTCTCTCTGTTAAGCCCCAATAAGAAACTCCCCACCATACCATGAGCGAGGATGGAAAATGGCCTCGTTGAACGCGCGGAATACGGTTGCTCGCTTCTTCACTACTGTGTGCTTACCTTATCATTTTGTTTGTTGTAGCTCTCTTCTACGGTAAAAAATTTTTCATCCGAAAAAAGAATTTCCCGATATTTTTTTCCCGCGTACCGCTTCAACAAAGCGCGGCATCTCTTCAGTCTCAAGTCCATTAGACGAGCATTCAAACGATGTCCTGTTTTTCTTCGATATGCCCGAAGCCATAAGTATTCATTTAAAAGCCTTTTCACCGTGGTTCTGCTTAACCCCATCTGAAGGGCCAACAGTTTCTGCTTACGTTTGGGATTTCTTTGAATTCGCGCCTTCACAGCTTTTATCACTGCTGGAGTCCTAACAGACCGGGGGCGACCACTTCTTGACCTGTCATCTACACTAGAGTCTTGATTGTATCGTTTGATAGTACGATAAACGAATCTTTTGGTTATATTCAAAATTTTCAGTATGTCAAAAATTTTAATTGACGCGTAACCGCAACGATGCAACGCTATAACTGCAACACGGTCTTCTTTAAGCGTCCACTCTATATTTAATGATGAGAGAAATTCGAAATTCGAATTCAATAAACTTTTTTGTAGCCAGCATTCTAAAAGAAAAGTTTTTACTGTGTGACAATACTTATGACCTGACTGTAATATGTACCGAACCGAGCACTCGGCCGAGAGCACTGTCTCGCTCGTTTGTTGGTACGTGTGATCAAGACATATCTCTAAATCAAATGCTGAACCGATTAAGACTTAATCGGTTGCGGCGGTTTACAAGTGAAGAGAAAACTAAATATTAGTATTGATAGTAGGTATAGTATAAAAGTATGGTCTGGTATGTATTGATGTGAGTGAAAATATAACAGAGATTTATTTATATGTATAAGCGAAACCGAAATTATAATTAATTAACTGCTTTTTGCATTATAGGTAGGTAGGTGTATCGTTTTGCTGATCCAGCTGGGGTGGGATATTGCGCCATACGCAGGGATGTATGGACGAAAGATCACCTGATGATCCCAGGATTAACGCTGGGCCCTCTCAATTAGTTGGGATTATCCCGCACGTGCCTGGGGATTCGAACGCGCATGACATAACGTCGTGCAATTCTTGCTTAATCGCTATTAAAATTTATCATTTCTTATAAACGAAATTTCATCAATAGGAAGGTCAATAGGTACATAATTTAAATTATCTCATATGATATTCTACACCGGTTGCACTTTGTAACTTTAAGTAATCTTTATCAATGATGAAGATGTGACATAGCAGCTTTTCCGCTTAAATTAAAGCTCCCGTGTTAGTAACCCTTCTTTTTATAGAATACCGCAGTGAGTAACACTACTTGGATGAAGTAAGTAGGTCAGGTAGATCAAAATTCAATAAGAAAAATGTAATTTAAATCCGTCAAGTCTTTCATCTGCTCCCATGAATCATCAACAGTTAGTAATATTATAACAGTTAATTATAAAGTACTAACGGTGACTTACTTAATATTTACTGTGATTTTAGGTTACTAAGTAACTACTTCACTAACCCGCCTACCGTTGTTTCGAAAATATTAAGTGACAGAGTATTTTAAAACCTAATAACATCCCAAATTTGGATTTATCAGTTACTTATGTAATTAAATAAAGTAGGTAACTTTGATGTGAAGAACTTTTAGTGTCTTTTTACCTTAGAATGAAAAAACGAAATCCTTTTATTTATGCTTATCTATACTTATAATAAATCTGTAGAGGGGTC